TGGCCGGTTGCCGCGCACGGGGGCGGAGGGGTTTGGCCAGTGACTCTCGAACGGCCATTGACGCGGCGTTGCCAAACCTCCCACACGAAGGAACAGCGTGAAGGACGTGAAAATTGTTTTTTCTGTTTTTGTTTCTCAGAATATTTTGGTCCACGTAGATAAATTTGAACCAATCAAATTGCTTTTGTCAGTGATAAGAGCTGTTGCTTGTACAAGCAATTCAGAAAAAAATTTAAGAAATCTATCTGCCACGTAAGACAGGTCCAATGGGGTTTGTTATAAGGTACGGTGCTTAACAATAAGAAACCCTTCAAGCACCCTCCTTTGGAGGTGCTCTAATAGTATAATTTTATTAATTTATTGAATAATGTAGATATTAAAAAATTAAAAGACTAAACAGACAAATGGAATAATCAGCTGCATTTTAATTGATCTTGATTTTAAAAAAAACGAATCAACATGTTTTTAAATCATTTTTAATTAAATTTTAGTGCAACTAAATATCATAAACTAAATATGCAATGTGTAATATTTTACAAATATTAACGAGTTTAATTTAATTGATTGAATATATATAATATGGCATTGGGAGGAGTATTTACTGATTTTTTCATAAATTAAATTTTAACTGTATTAAGGTTATTTTTAATACAAAGTTTGATTTGAATGATTAAAAAAAATAATACCGTGGCTACATGAATTATATTTCTTTGTAATGTCGTATCTTTTTTTAATTTCTTTTAATAACGACTAATTATTATTATATGATCATATCAACTCATTTGTCACTTTACCCTTGTCAATTAATGTTTTGGATCACCAATAATGTTTAAAATAAATTGTAATTCTATGATAAGAAGTTGAATCATTCAAAAAAAAAAACGATAAGAAGTTGGAAGACGTAATTTTATTTTTATCATTTTCATATTTTAATTCTTAAACTAGTTATAACACTTTTAATAAATCAAAATTAGGTGTGAGTAAGAAAGTACTTTATAATGTAATCATTATAATTTTAAAAGCTTCTGTGTCCGCGCGTGCATTATTGATTTTGTTTTTTTACAGTATATTGAATTTTATTAATATAAGCATGCTGAATAAAAGTTAAATAATACGATTAAATCAGTAGGTAAAAAAATAAAATATTCAATATCGATCGATCTAAAATAATTTTTAAACATTTAGAAAATGATTTAAATATTTTATCATTATTTTAAATAAGAAAAAAGTACATATTATTTCTGTTCTAATATGTTTAACTTTTAAACTTTTTACATGAAATTTTAAAATACAACTAATATATTTAATTTCATAAAATAAATCATGTAATTTCTTAATATATTTTTAAAATTTTCAAATTTTTATTAATAATTAAAAATATATTAATAATAATTAAGAGTATAATAAAAAATATATTAAATATTATTAATATTATAAAACGATAATTAAATTAAAATAAACAACAGTAATTTTTGTTTGTGATAAATAATATCTTGGTAAGAAAAAATATGTCTTGCAAGCGTTATCAACTTTAAAATGTTACGAGAATATGTAAATAAACTTAAAAAAAATATAAATAATCAAGAAATATTAAAATGTCAATCAAAATAAAATGAAAGGAATATTAATTAAACCAATACAATTATTTGATCATAGTAATTAAAGGAGTTTATTTCATACATCGTTATCTACTCTCCTTTTTTGCCCTTTTCTTCAATTGTATAAATATAATAAACACGTGGTCTTAATTTTCTACCTTATCCATATGTTATTCTAGAAGCTTCTATTTTCATTAGAATTCCGTGGATTCTGATAGGAAATGAAGTAGAAATGAAACTGCGGAAAGTGAGAACCGAAGGCATGGGTAAATTTTTGTTGCAAGGAGATATATGTATGTAACAAGAATTAATTAATTATTTATTAAAATTAGTTTTAATTATTTGATATAAAATTATGGAGGTGGATAAAAAATCCACATAGGTGTGTGTGAGAGCACAAAATAATGATGAGCGAGAGCCAGCTGGATGGGGTCCACAGAATCATGCACGCGGTGGAACGCGCGCGAGTTGGCTCGTTTCAACTCAATGACTCATAACTCGTAACGTAACCACTCCCATCAAACCCTTCCTTTCTTTCTGTTTTCTGGAACAAAGACAAACAGAGCGATTGAGGATGTCGAGGCAAACCCAGGTCGAGGATTCCAAATCTCAACCACCCCAAAACGGCGACGTTCCAGACGATGATTCGTCTCCCGTTTCACAGGACCAACCGCAGGATCAAGAGAAGATCCGTAAACGGGACTACATCGACCTCCCTTCACACCCCTACATTATGAAGATTTTGAACAAGCAAGGTTGAAAGCTTCCCTCTAAATAACCTCACTTTTTTTTATCCAGTAATTTAATTTAGGAATGCC